TCCCTCTCCCTTATAGGCTATAAAGTTCCATTTAAAAAATATTGAAAAACAAATAAATTATTTTAAAGGTTTGGTAGCTAGCTGAAGAATAAAGCCATAGATTACTTGCCTCCAAAAATGTTTTTTCTCATATCTTCTGAGATGTATATATATATATATACACTTTAGAAACAAAGAAAGAGATAATACGAGAAAAAAGCAAAAAATAAAATTGATGAATATACCGGATGATTAATGGGAAAAAGAAAGATAAATAAAGGTCTAATTAATATTGATATAACATAAAAAAGAAAAATCTGATGTCGTTACTCCCATGGTCAAAACTTTATTCATTTGTAGAATACATTGTGGGGTGATGTGATAATAGTTACTGGAATTAAAATTACTTTTATTTTAATTTCATTATATGCATAATTTACTATCTTTATAATTGGTAAATTTTATAACTTATTATCATTGTAATCTACTATATATCGGAGTTGACAATGGAGATTGAAGACGTACTATCGTAATTAACGGGTTTTAATTTCAGATATTTATTTGATTTTCATTTTGCCCTACAAGTTTAGAGACTAAATTAGTAGTTTTCTGCAAGTAATTACAAATTTCAAAAGTAATTTAAATTTTCTGACAAGTTATGAATTAGTTGGAATTTTTTTTCACCGTGTATATATAAAATCCACTAGAATTTGGATTTTATTTCTAAACTAGTTCAAATCAAATCAGCTATTTTAATTAATCTTAAAACTTTGTTTTATTTTTATATTTCCCCTCCTCCCTACCCAAAAAATATACCGTGTTTTCCGTTTCAACGATCATCAATATAAATTTTTTTTTTTTTCATGCGAGGCTTTCACTTGTATTATTTTTTCTAATAAAAATCTTTATTATTAAAACTTCACACTATTTTTTATAATTACTGTATATGTATGTTGGGGTAGAGGGTGTCACAACTGATCCAGAGACCTTCTCTCTAAAACTTCTCTCTAGAATCAGAACTCCTCACGGCCCCCCTCACCCCTATTTATAGGCAATCCGGAGAGGCCAGAACGGCCTGTTCCGATACCGGAACGGCCCGTTCTGAACCCCCAAAACAAGCCAAAAATACACGCCCAGAA